ATACAAAATAGATTTTGTAACCGTTCGAAGTCGAGTTAGCGCAATTCCGGAAGACGTGGGTTCGATTCCCGCAGGGGCGAAAGACTTCGCACAATTTTCAACAAATTTTAATGTATCAATGTATAGTGTTTATTGTTTTCATTGGACGCCCATTTTTAAAGCACTTTAGTGGCTCTGAAAGATGATTTCATATTGCTGCTGGGTTACAAATGGTTGACCGTTTCCGTATTTTTTCTATTTAAAACGAGCGAAAAGATTATCACACGTCGTATAATAGTTTTATGAGGACAATTTTAATATGATATCACTACATAATATAAAACAAAGTCGTCCTGCTGTCTGTCTGTCCCTATGTACGGCTAGATCTTTAAAACTACGCAACGGATCTTGATGCGGTGTTTTTTACTAGATAGAGTGATTTAACCCGTGCGAAGCCGGGGCGGGTCGCTAGTTATTTATAATTTCAAACATACAGTTACATGCTGAATCGAATCTAAGACTAACAGCTTCTATAACGCAACAAGTGCGTGTACCGGGCCATCAAAGTTATCGCAACAAAATAACCGAACACAAAGACCGTCTTCACCACGACAATAGGCAATTTGTTTCATCAGACCAAGCGAATTCACACAGCACCGGATAACTTATGGCGCGTTTACATGCATATGTCTTCAATAGACGTACTAAACAGAATTTGATTTTATAAGGCATCTAAAAATTAGCATCTAAAAAATGCTATTATTTTTCGACGAATTGACAGGTCCGTCCGGGCAAGTACCACGACCTCACAGAAGACCGGCGTAATGTAGAAGTGTTACACTTTAACGTTTCGTCTGGTGAGTGGCGTAGCCGCGGCCCAATTTATTTAACGGTGGCAAAGCATTTGCAAACTTGCGGGTGTTGCAAATGTTCATGGTGTCACTTAATATCAGGTGAATCGCCCGCTAGTTTGCCACTTTCTTATACAAAAATAATTTTTAATTCAAAAAATAAAAGTTGGTACAATTATCTTCTAAGTCTTACTATCACCTCACGATGACGATAAGTTTTCTACGTTTCTACGTTTCTACGTTACTACGACGAGTCTTCTACGTTTAACACATACGTTGACACGGTGATAAAGTTTCTGACAAATATGTTACGTACAGAATAACCACGCTTTAAACTGAACACTATCTGGAAATAATAAAGGCTAATGAAGAATTGGCTAGCTTGATCGCCGTCATGGCAGTTAATTCATCCTGTTTTAAAACAGTGACTATGCCTGTCCAGTAAATGGTCGTCTATATAACATAAAATACGTAATAATTTTTAGGGAAGAACTTATTTTTCAAACAAAAACAAGGTAAACAAACTTTTCCCTAATGGGTCTGACAGAGGAATACTGGCTTCACTCCTTAGTCTCACGATCGACAACCTTGTCGCCGTACACAAGACCAAAAAGTTGAACGGTTTCACAAATGGAAAAATCCAAATACGTTTGACATGAAAAAAAAAAAAGCTAAAGTAACCGGAAAACTCTAGCGCATGCCATTAGGCTTCGAAGCCTCGTCATTGACATCGGAAGTTCGGTATTTTAGCCACATGAAAATTGGTGTTTTGACTTCCGGACGCGTCCCTTCCTCAGAACAGATGTAGCACAAGGGCGGCCGCTTGTCACCTCACACCGCCGCAGAGCCATCGCCTTTACAGGTGGATGGAGCGCGTAAATAGCTAGCCAAACCGGCCCATAAATACCACGAACAGTTAGGCAGATTTTAATCGAACGTCGACATTGACATCATGAAATTTATAGAAATAGAAAGAAGATTATAGAAATTATGACAAAGATATGCCTGAGTGAACAGTGTCGCTTAAAAAACTAAGCCAGTTATGATAAACAAATCTAATCATGAAATCCGGGTTGCTTAATCTCTTATCCTTTAAATGAGCAATTCTTGTATATATATAATCGGAATCTCGGAAACAGCTCCAGCGATTTTCATGAAATTTAATATGTGCGTAGATTCGGGGGCGAAAAATCGATCTAGCTAGGTTTCATTGTTAGAAAATGTCCTTTTATCCCTGTTTTCAGGGAATGAAAAATATAATTCGAATATGACGGTAAATTTCGCCAAAAAAAAAGAGAAAATGTCATAATAGCTCGGTCGGTAATCGGGCGGCCCCAAAACAGACGGCCGTGGTTCGCGTCACGATCATTTACATATTTATTTTTTTACTTTTTTTTCGATTCTAAATCATTGCTTTCTTTATTTTAAATTTTTTGTCGATTTGTTATTTTGTTATTTTTTTTAAAGTTCTTTCTTTTGTGAAAAACATCAGTTCATATTTTTTTATCATTACGTCGGTAAGATCGAAAAATATTATGCATATTTCATTACTCAGTAATTTTTATCTAAATGTAATTTCCAAAATACACGATTTACAAAAAAAAACAAACCGAGCAAAGCTCGGTCTTCCAGGTAGGTACTAGAGAATTTATACGAGACGCTGAGGCGGCTCGTAAATAGCGTCGACGTGCATTTATTATCTGTTAAAAAATAACATTGGGAAGCCCAATCGCGTTGTCCGAGGTCAGGTTGTGTTGCATAATTCATCTCTTGATTTTTTGCGCACCCCCCAAATTGGACGATGCTAATTTCTGTGCGCCGAGTACATACAGCTTTTCTGCAGTGCCGGTCGGAAGATAACCATGAGATTTTTTAAAAGCGCTAACAAGGAGTCGGTGATGCAGTTACTAAGCTATTGACTTCGGCGCCGAGGTCTTGGGTTTGGTTGAATAGACAAATCTTTATTAATCATAAATAAATAAATATTTCAAACTAAGCAACGCTTGTACTATGGGTACTAGATAACTAATTATCATACTTAAACATAATTTTCTTTTGTAAATAAATACATATTATACGTATGTAAACACCCAGACACTGGAAAAACACTATGTTCATCACACAATATTTTCCAGTAGTGGGGATATACCACCCACACCCTCTAGCGCAGGAGGCAGGTACACTACCCACTACGCCATTCGGTTCGTCAAAATAATAATAAAAATGAAACTATATTTGCAGATTTAACGCGCTTATTTTTAATTTCCCGACATTTTCGAAAGCCGCAAATTTGTTTGACAGGAAACAGAAACGAACGAAAAACAATTTGGTGTTTCGGTGATATGTATAAGTTTGCACAAAAGTGCTGTAAATGTTTACTATACATATTCGACTGAAGGTTTGTGCCGAATCCGAAACCGTGGTGTTTATAGATAAAATGCTGCAAAGATTACGAATCAAAATTATTTCACCGCTCGACTGTGTAGAAAAATTTTGTGCAGGCATTCATATAGATTTATTTATTAATGTTTACGATGATTTAGCTGCTAGGAAGACAAGGCCTGGAATTAACTAGTTATTTTTACTGGAATATAACATAGTATAATAGTAATAACGTATTTTGTCTTCGTCTTCGTAGGCCTTTGTTAGTCCAATGCTAGATGTTGGCCTCTCCATTTGCTACCAACTTACGCAAGCCGGCACTCCATCAGACCCGTGGGCGACTGCGATTTCAGATCAATCTGACAACGGGAAGGTGCTTAAATTTCAATTTCTAATTTTGACCCAATAAACAAATAACTTCCGTACGGGTCGAGCTAAATAAAACCGTTTAAAAAGCTAAGTAAAGTGACTATATATATACTATTATTATCGTGGCATCATCGAACACGCTTAAAATTCTTTTCGCTGCCTCCGATTCAAGATATAAGCGTGAATTACAAGTCAAATACAGAAAGATTTAATTTTGACACGAATGCAAAAATTAGCGATGGCCTCTTACTTCCTAGTTAGTATGTTAGCTAAATTAAGCACTTACATTAATTTGATCATTGCCGCCTATTTATGTCAGTAATACAAAGGAATTTATTGAGTCAACACGTTTGTAATGTAGGCCTGTGTTGACTTTATTAGAGGTTATATCTATTTTAAACTTTCATCTTACATTCATGGCGGCGTGGACACTGTAAGCATCCGTAAGTATAAATAATCCGTAGTAACAATCTAGTAATGCAATGATAATTGACAGTGCGTACCGTAAGAACTAAGGCAAGACTGTCAAACACTTAACAGTCATTAATGGAATGTATGTGGGGAGTAAGGAATATCCTAGGTTACTTGGGAGAAATTACTTTTAGTAATAAGGCTGCCCATTGTACTCGTACCCATCACTTCTACATTAAGTTTTTTATTCTTGTTTATTATCATTCATTCATTCATTCGCAATTAAAATAAAGATGAAAGGGAGCAAAAGGAGTAGGGAGTTAGTATTGGTGTACCCGACAGGCAAAATTATCTCTTTGTCCGTGATACAGCATGTGCGAAAGTTTAATTGGCCTTAAAAAGTGGAATTAAGTCAATTACAGTTGCCATCGCATTTTGCGGCGTGTGCTTACTCCTATGACTGGTCAGATTTTATTAATCACTTAATTATTGACTGTCGGTGCAAGATTGTCATGGGTATCTATAGCAGTGGCAATTTTAATGACGGCTGGAGAGGGGGCAACCTATTACATCGTTACCAGGCTAATTCCAGTTAAACTAAACGTACACGATAAATATAAGTAAATTGTATAATTGAGACTTTCAAGATAATATACCAAATTAAATGGTCCAGTGATGATAAAACACTATTCAAGTAATCACCACCTTACTAATTAATAAGTAAGGTGGTGATTCCGTCATCCTATCGATTTACTAATAAAATCTATCATAAATTTATTTCTCGAGAACTTTTTGATCCAAGTTTTACATTACGCTCACAATTCTGTTGAGAGAATATAAACTCGACGACTCAATGTTAAACCACTATACTCCTAAGAGGCCTGTATCGTACCTTTATATAATTCCTAATACCTGACCAGACCGTTGTTACTCCTTTGCAGAGCGAACACCATTCAAGCACGAATGCTACCGAAGAGATAGCCGCCACCAGCTGCACAAACTAACGAGATGGGCCACAAGCAGTACCTGGCTGTAGGCCAGTCAGCGAGGAACCGGCTCTTCGGGCTGACGCCGAGGATATCAGGCGACAAGCGCACCGTGCCACTGAACATGCTGATCTCGCAGCAGGGCAAAATCAACCATGGTGAGTTCAGATCTAATCAGACTCCAAAAACGACTGTGACGATGTCTCTTTCTTTGCCTCCCCATCTTAAAGTCTAAACAGATACTATTTACTATTTATCAGATTTATGTAACAGATACTATTTTTCTTGACGATAAGTTCTAGAAATAACGTCATGATTGGGAATAAAAGAGACATATTGACAAAACGTTACTCGTAGGATAAAACGTCATAATAGATGGAGAGAAATATTTCAGTATGCTAGAAAAATTAGGATTTTTTTTTAAAACGTTGCCATTACTTTAGAATATTCTTATTCTGTGTTGTAATGACGTTCTACAAACATATATTTCACGCAGACAAACACCCAGATGCGAAACAACTATCTGTGGGTCACACAAATAGGTCACATAAATAGTGGAGTCATCATCGAGATGATGACTCCGTGGCGGAGTTGATAGAAAGAAAAAAGTATAGTTAAGTGGGAACAAATAAAAGGACAGTTAAGTGCAATAATTCTATATGATGTTTAGTAATACAATACAAAAAATATATATGACGCAATCATAAATAACAAACTTATGCAGCAAATATAATTATTCTAGTTTATTATAGGTAAAGGGTGCCTGAATGATATTGCTTTTATAAATATGTTTTAGTCCTAATTTTTGCACTCCCTATAATGTACCTATATAATTAGTACTATGTATTTGTAAATATTTTCAAAATTATTTAAAACATACGTTATTATTTTGTTCATATTTAATTATTAGTATTTTTTGCAAATTTAATCGCATTTATTAAAATTACCGACATTTCCATTATTTCCCCGGGACTTGTCATTATGATTCAACGCGATGAAATCGTAAATGCGTCAACACAACCCACTACAATCACTATTTTTTGCAAGGTAACTAAAGAAAAAAGAAACTAAATTAGAAGTAAGAAACATACCACAACATACATTTAGCAGGCAAGTAATAATTATAAACAGCATCACGAGCAACGTCTGTAAAAATAAAAAAAACCGGCCAAGTGCGATTCGGACTCTCGCGAAGGGTTCCGTACCACTATCTATAAAAACGGCAAAAAAAGTATGACTGTTGTATGGGCCTGTAATTAATTCTGTATTTTTGTATTTATATTTTTGTTTTTTATTCTTCATTCTTATATTTACCTGAAACAATGCTGTGACATCTGATAAGGCAAATGCATGAAAATTTTTATGTATATCTTATTTGTAGGTTGAATGTTTACACTGCTGGTGTCAAATATATTATATATTTTAATTTAGGGAGCCGTGATAGCTCAGTGTCCGGGCGCTCGCCTTTAATTCAATATACTCGAGCAACCTGAGTTCGATCCCCGGTGCCGGCACCAATGAAGTTTTTAACTTTAAGTGCTGACTTATCACGTGCTCCGCGGTGAAGAATAACCGGTGAGGAGACCTGTAAATTTTCGAAATAATAACAAAAAAAATATATTTCGAAGATATGTGAAGTCCGCCAATCCGCAGTGGGGCCGCGTGGTGGACTATGCCCTGATACCCTCTGTATAGAGGAAGCCTTTGCCCAGCAGTGGGACAGCGGGACGACTTTGTTTTATACTATATATAGTGATAATAAATAAATAACCAGGACGCACAGAGACCCACAAACGCTATTCCGTTTCCCGGAAAGCGATTCCACGCAAATTGGGCGCTTTTCACAACGGCCACGAAACTCGGGCACGCACACCGCACCGCCGACCCGCCCCACTTGCTTTCAGAGTTGTGTGCGGTGCGCGATTTTTTTCCCCTGCGTTGCCAAACGATCGCGCGATATGCCATTCTCGCAATAGCGAAACGCGGCGCGAGTTACAAGCGCTAGCGGGGAGACTGAAAAGCTGACTGAAACCTTTTCCCTTATTAAATCACTTACGGGCTTCAAAAGGGCTTGAAAAGAGATGATAACGCTAAAATATGAGCTCCCATTTGTGACAATATCTTATCACTATGAGCACAAACGCAAACATATTACTGCACCTGTACTAAAAACAGCAACAAATGGCAGACCGCCACTTATATATGAACGTTTTGAATTATCTAATTTATGTACAATATTATCTTAAATTACGAAACGTAATGAGTTCAAATTTAGTAAAACTAAAACTTTATTTTTACATTTATAGCAAACTTTATTAAAGAGGTATATGGGGCTGAGGAATATGAAGATCGAAATAACCTTTGGGTAAGACATGAGTTTTTATTACGTATAAACATCGTCGAACTATTCGCGTTTATTTACTCTCCCCGCTTGTCTAATATTACTTAGTCATCTGGTCCCGCCTTCCGGCTATATCTTGGGCCACACCGACAGGCACGCAAATCAAACTCGTCCTCAGTTAGCTAGCTCCGTGTCGGCGTCGAATTGCGCAGACTAAGCAAATTTTCCCAATGTTTTCATGACCGCATTAACTGACCAAAACACTGCTGTGTTCTGTTGAATACATTTTTATACACGAACCTCAACAAAAGAGGCAGACAGAAACAAAGTTCACGATGCTTTATATATTTCATATTCATAAACTTTGGGAATGCAAAAAATTTATAGCAATTGTGAAAAAGTGTAATACAACAGCTGAATCTTTTTTCTTTCAAAATGATCTTTTTACTGACTAAGTTCGCAAACTTATGACAGAAGTATTCGGCATGGTTCTATGAAGAAATACGCAAAGCAAAAGCGGCTGATAATGTACAGAATGTGACAGACGTGACAGCGTACCAACTCTTAGTACACGTGTTACTACCACGTAGGGCTTAAAGAGAAAGAAGAGGAAAAAAGCTTTAGTTTATTTAGTAATATAACGTTTTCCTTTTTTCTGGTTTTAGTGCTTTGTGTATATGAGACGAAACATAAAATATGTAGATAAATTTGTCGAAAAACTTTTCGCCCGAATTTCCAACTGCGCCTTTTGGATTCTGGACGCGTCTCCCGGTCGAATCCTGGAGGCGACAAAAAAATTCGACAAATTTAAGTATAGTTTTTTACTTCAATTCTATTCACACATATTTGGTTTTAGCTATAAACAAATTCGACTATCAAACTTTTTGTATTCTGTTTAGTATACAGTTCACTACGCTATAGTTTAACGTTTCATAAGTATTGAGCAAGATATAAGTTATGCCACACAACGAATGTTCGACCGTATAACCTCTAAAAGATTATTTTCCGCGTCCGCTTTCCGTACGTACTAGTTTTCTGCTATATATATTAATATATGTTAAGTTTAAAACCATTGGCCATTGTAGTGTAGGACACCTTCTACCATCCATCGACTTGCCGCACTCTTGCACCTGTCGTCCCAGAAGTGAATGAAAATTCTTAGTTTATTAAAACATGTAGAAAAAGTACGAAAAGATTGTCGCCGCTGTGGGAATCGAACCCACGTCTTTGGCATTCGCGGCCTGACGCTCTAGCCACTAAGCTAAACGGCTGATAGCCACAGCGACGAAAACCTTAACGCCTTCCTTCTACATTGTTATTTAGCGTTTGAAGCAATGCTTGGCGCAACTATTGTTATATCCTTTCCAGCATACAAACGATTTCGAATATCGTTTTACAACGATAATTCGAACGAGAGATGTCGCCATTGCTTTTTATAAATTTTAAAGTTTTTTATAGTGCTAATCTCTGCACTTAAGATTGAAAATTCTAGTTCATAATTTTTTCATGAGATTCAAGACCCTCAGGTTCGGGCTTAAATCGAGTATATGAACACACTAGAATATATATTGAGTACATGAACACACTAGAGAACGGTTCCTGCGTAGCTGAAGCAAACAAAGATGAAATCAAGATGTTTATTCAAACTTGGGATAACAATTTGTCAAATTGGTAATAAGATCGCACAATAGAAATTCAGTCAAGTCGCATCTCATCATTAGTGGTTTTAAAACGTAGAGTCCCTAAAAGGTAAGCGTTACGCAAGGATACTTCTATGCGGTTCTATATCAAACTAACTCAAACACGCAAATCAAGCGTCCGTTGCAATACCTTTATTCGTTTCAATATTGCGAATTATCGCGTTTACCAGCAATGAACCTCGTATTTGTTGTTTATTTGTTCTGTCATCTGGATTCTTTTAAACAATTCTAGTTACACTTCGGTTTTATTTGTATTTTTGAATTAGCTACGAAGCTACGGACTAAGAGTAAATTGTACCACGTCCTCACAGAAGAGCGGCGTGAAGTTATTAGAATTATCGCGTTTCATCTGATGAGCGAGGTAGCCGGGGCCCACTTTTTCACTGGTTAGCAATGCATCTGCGACCACCAGGTCTTGTAGATGTTGACGACCGGCGGTAATCACTTTTAACGGTGGTAGGGCCACGCAGCAGCCTCGGTTGTTGCACGAATGAGCAGGCTCGTCCGGGTAAGTACCACGACCTCACAGAAGACCGGCGTAACGTGGAAGTATAATACTTTCGCGTTTCGTCTGGTGAGTGAGGTGGCCGATGCCCAATTTCAAAAGGTTGTCAACGCATCTGGAACCCTAGGGTATAGCAGATGTCCATGGGCGGCGGTATTCACTTAACATCAGGTAAACCGCCTGCTCGTTTGGCAACTTTTCACATAAAAAAAGACATCGAGTGAACCGCCTGCAAGCTTGCCAACTTTTCCCACAAAAAAATATGCGTCGGATGCCGACCCTGACGATACGAATGTACACGAGTGTTATTAGTTGTCATCAGTTGTGACGTACCATCCGACTGGTTTATTTGACCAGATACTTGCGCAGTATACGTTTACCTTACCTCTACGACACAAGGTAATCTTATCTAACGTTACAAATTATTGTAGCGGAACAGACAAGGAAGCAGAAACAAGCTTTAAATCCTAACGCAAGTAAAAAATACACCCTAAACTATTAGATTTTTACGATTATATATCCCAAATATCTGCTATATTAAATGTTAACCTCCTCACCGATAAATGTGGAAAAGCTGGACACTGTAGACAGAGCATGATTAAATGTGGAACT